GAAAAACAACGTGGGCTACATTAATAATTGGCAATCCTTTTGGGGAAAGCCTGGTCTGATTCGGAGAGACGCAGCTCTTCTTTCTAGGAATCTGGCCACATTTATTAGTCCTCCAAAACCCTGACCACCCAGGGTGCAGACCAGGAAGCAGAGTTGTAGTTTAACACACATCTCTGCAGCTTCTCTACTGTTACCCACTCTTTACTCCATCCAGACAGTGTCTTGCCCACGACCAAAATCTAATAAATTAGCAAAGATTCCCAAAGGAGTAAATCATGATAATCTAATTAAAATCAAAATAACTCCAATTGGGGAAAAAGTTAAAACAATTAAATGCGGTCTGTTTAACATAAGATCGCTTTCCTCTAAAAGTCTACTAGTTAATGACTTGATTTGTGATAATCACATTGACTTGTTTTGCCTTACAGAAACCTGGCTGCAGCAAGAGGATTATGTGAGCATAAATGAGGCAACTCCTTCAAGCTATTTAAATTTTCACATCCCCAGAAGTTCTGGGCGAGGAGGAGGAGTAGCAACAATCTTCGAGTCTGACTTTCTGATTACTCCCAAAACAATTAATTCCTACAACTCTTTTGAACATTTAACCCTTAATTTCCCTGATCCAAATTTCAAGGCAAGAAAACCTCTTCTTTTTGTAACTTTGTATCGTCCACCAGGTCCTTACTCTGAATTTTTAGATGAGTTTTCAGAGTTCCTTTCTGATTTGGTATTAAATACTGACAGGGTCATCATAGTGGGAGATTTTAACATCCATGCTGACATTGAAGGCGATAGCTTAAGAGCAGCCTTTAATGCTATCTTAGACACTATTGGCTTTGTTCAAAATGTGAATAGTCCCACGCATTCTCATCTTCATACTTTGGATCTTGTGCTGACATACGGCATAGAATGTGAAGAAATAACAGTATTTCCTCACAACCCTGTCCTCTCTGACCACTTTCTAATAACCTTCAGGATTACTTTAACAGAGTTCTCCTCCCCCAAAAGAAGGTTCAATTTTAGTAGATCTTTATCAGATAGTGCAGTTATAAATTTTAAAGAATCTGCTTCACTTTCTCTCTGCTCTGTGTCACTGAGCAGTGCTGCAGAGTGCAAAAGCTTAGCTTATTCCCCTTCACAGGTTGATGATTTTGTTGAGGGGGTTGCTAGTTCTCTGCGTATTGCCTTAGACAACGCAGCTCCTTTGAAAATGAAAACCGTTAAAAATAGAAAGCTTGCTCCTTGGTTTAATGCAGAGCTGCGTACTTTGAAGCAAAATGCTAGGAAACTGGAGAGAAAATATCGCTCCACAGGCCTGCGAGAGTCCTTCCTAGTCTGGAAAAATGGTTTACAGTTGTATAAGAGAACCCTTTGTAAAGCAAGAGCAGCATACTTCTCCTCATTAATAGAGGAGAATAAGAATAATCCTAGATTTCTTTTTAATACAGTTGCCAAACTCACCCAGAGCCATAGCTCTGTTGAACCGTCCATTCCACCTGCTCTTAGCAGCAATGATTTTATGGGATTCTTTATAAATAAGATTGATCTTATTAAAAATAAGATCATAAGCACTCCTCTATCCGCGATTGTACCTGAGGTAGTCATGGAATCTGAACCGGGTTTAGACTGCTTTGATCCAGTTGAACTCTCTGAATTAGCAAAATTATTGTCTTCATCTAAGCCTTCAACTTGTATGTTAGATCCAGTTCCAACCAGGTTATTTAAGGAGGTATTCCCTTTGATCTCCTCCTCCATTTTAGATGTGATTAATCTATCTCTGTTACAGGGATATGTACCTAAAGCTTTTAAGATTGCTGTAATTAAACCTCTGCTTAAGAAACCGTCTCTTGACCCAGATGACTTGGTCAATTATAGACCTATATCCAATCTTCCTTTCTTATCCAAAATTCTTGAGAAAGTAGTTGCCAAACAAGTTTGCGATCACTTCCACCATAATGAACTTTTTGAAGAGTTTCAGTCTGGCTTTAGAGCTCATCATAGCACTGAAACAGCTCTGGTGAAAGTCACTAATGATATTCTCATGGCCTCAGATAATGGACTTGTATCTGTGCTCGTCCTGTTGGATCTTAGTGCTGCATTTGATACAGTTGACCATAATATTCTTTTAGAAAGACTTGAATATTTTGTTGGAATTAAAGGAACAGCACTAGACTGGTTTAAATCTTATCTATCTGATCGAATTCAGTTTGTTCATGTTAATGATAGATCTTCAACACGCTCAAAGGTTACCTGTGGAGTACCACAGGGATCAGTGCTAGGACCAATTCTCTTTACTTTATACATGCTCCCAATTGGTAGAATTATTAGACAGCATGGGATTAATTTCCACTGTTATGCTGATGATACCCAGCTATATCTGTCTATAAATCCAGATGAAGCTAACCCATTACATAGATTACAGGCATGTCTTGAAGACATAAAAACCTGGATGACTCTTAATTTTCTGCTTCTGAATGCAGACAAAACAGAAGTTATAGTCTTTGGACCAGAGTCTCTGAAAAAGAAACTGATTAGCCAGTCACTTCATTTGGATGGGATTAAACTGATTTCAGATAATAAAGTAAAAAATCTTGGTGTTATTTTTGATCAGGACCTGTCATTTAAATCCCATATCAAAGAGGTTTCTAGAATTTCCTTCTTTCATCTGAGGAACATTGCAAAAATTAGAAATATCCTGTCCAGGGGTGATGCTGAGAAACTAGTCCATGCATTTGTTACTTCAAGGCTGGACTATTGTAATTCTTTACTATCAGGAAGTCCACAAACTGTAGTTAAAAGCCTTCAGCTGATCCAAAATGCTGCAGCCAGAGTTCTAATGAAAATTAAAAAGAGAGATCATATCTCGCCTATCCTGGCTTCTCTTCATTGGCTTCCTGTTAAATCAAGAATAGAATTTAAAATCCTCCTTCTCACATATAAAGCCTTAAATGGCCAAGCTCCATCTTATATCAGAGATCTGATTGTTCCTTATGTTCCTAACAGAGCACTTCGCTCTCAATCTGCAGGTTTACTAGTGGTTCCTAGAATTTCTAAAAGTAGAATGGGAGGCAGATCTTTTAGTTATCAGGCTCCTCTCCTGTGGAACCAACTACCAGTTTTAGTCCGTGAGGCAGACACCCTGTCTACTTTTAAGGCTAGGCTTAAAACTTTCATTTTTGATAAAGCTTATAGTTAGGGTGGCTCAGGTTATCCTGAGCTATCTCTATAGTTATGCTGCTATAGGCTTAGACTTTTGGAGGACATAGGGACCCCCATTTCATCATTCTGCTTCATTCTCTCTCTGTTCTCCTATTCTGCAGAATCTGTTAGTTCAATCTCTAACCTTCTGCTCTCTCTGCTTTTTCTCAGAGTAGCTTTGCCTTGTCTGTTCCTGTTTGGCTGTGACGTCATCCTGGAAAAAAACATCAGCTGTGCTGCTTCTATCAACACCCTTGTTAATAGATGTTGGAGATCGGCCTGTTTTCCAGTGTGGTCCTGTTTCTCTGACCGTGACTGAGTGGATGTGCTCTCTTCATCCTCTGGCATGGGAGCTGCCTTGGAGCTCGTCTGCCTGGCTGTGTGTTTCCTGGACGGGGCCGCCTTTTACAGCTGCTTTTTGTATCTCTGCTTCTGTCTCCTTGAACCCCAGTCGGCCTCGGCAGATGGCCGCTCACACTGAGCCTGGTTCTGCTGGAGGTTTCTTCCTGTTAAAAGGGAGTTTTTCCTCTCCCCTGTCGCTACAAGCATGCTTAGTGTGGGGGATTGTATTTGAGTCAATGAGTCAATGCAATCAACTGGTTTTCCTTAGATAGAAAACTTTGTATCAATTTGACTGTATGATCTGGTTGAACTGTAAAGTGCCTTGAGATGACATGTGTTGTGAATTTGGCGCTATATAAATAAACTGAATTGAAATTGAATTGAATTTAGCAGCTGAACAGCAGAGGGAATAAAGGAGTGTTTGGATTGATTTGTCCGGGCTGGTGGATATTTAAAACGGGAACCAGAGGGTAGAAACTGGAATTCGCTATATAGGGGATGGGTGTAATCATAGTGTAATAACATCAATTTTGTTGTGTGTGTTTTCAGTACAGGGGCCATAAAAGGGGCCAGGACTAGTTCTACAGGGGCACAGGCCCCTGGTGGCCCCTGTCTAGAATCCGCCTCGTATAAATTAATTTGCCTGTAGTAAATTAATTTATACGACTCGTATAAATTAATTTACTACAGGCAGGAAGGCTCTTCTGTCTTAAAATAATTACAGACTCAAAATGCACAACTTGAAATAACCACCAAGCTCCATCTGATGTGATTATTGTTGACTGCAGGGAACAGCTTTCTGATCCTAGAGATGTCCAGATATCCTAAGCTGGCAGTCAAACCATGTTTGCTGAGGCAGCTGCACTGAAAACAGGTTCTGTATTTTATCACATAAGGTGAAAAATGAATACTCACATTTCAGATTTTATTCATTCCTGTAAATATTTATTTTTCTTCTATGGCACAGTGTGCTTTGGGTTCTTCTATAAACTTGTAATAACTGAAAAATATGGAAGTTAAAGGAGAATAGATGTTTTTATGAGGAAGGTTTATGGGGTAATTCTTCCCTAAATTTAAGAAAAAAAATATTTACGTGTCAGGAGGGAAAGCGTTTCATAACATATGTGACACATAGTCCTTAAATATTTCAATAAACAGCGTTTATGTGTTGCAAACTTTGGGATATAAAAAAAAACAAACCCGGTCTCTGGTTTTCTTCTCATTTTATTAGAAACAAATCTGGAATTTCTCCTTAAAATTAGAACGTAGAGATTAATGCTGCACATATCTGAAATAAATACAAAAATATAAAATACTCTTGGTAGCGCATCATGTATTTAAACTAATTATACCTTCAGTTCATTAAAGTCTGCTTTTAATCGGAAAAGGACAAAATTGGGCCAGTTAAAAAAATAGCCTCGGAAAAAAGTAAACGAAATAAATTAGAAGATGTTTCCTTTTCAAATATTTTCTACTCAGTTTTTTTCTGGTCCGTTTTGCGCGCTTTTACGCATCAGGTATAGCAGCATCTGTAGGGCATGAGAGGCACAGTGGGAAGCAGCCGGAGCGGAGGGCCTTGCAGGCCGTACAGGGGCCCGCACAGGGGCCTGCAGGCGGAGGACAGGGGCGGGAGCGCCGGTGTAAAAGCTCGCTGCACAGTCAGCTGCTCCTTCTTCCACTTGGTGCGCCTGTTCTGGAACCAGATCTTGACCTGAGTCTCGGACAGGCGGAGGGCCGCGGCGATGGTGTGCCGCTCCAGCACCGACAGGTAGTGGCTCCTCTGGAAGCTGTGCTCCAGAACCTGCAGCTGCTCCAGAGTGAAGGCGGTGCGGATCCGACGGCTCTTCTCCCCCTGGGGTGGTGAGGACTTCCCCCTCTGCCTGTTACGCACCGACTCCTCCGTCTTTCCATCTCCATCGTTCAGATCACGATTTTCTAAAATATAAACAACAGAATTTAGAATAAAATTAAAAACATTAAACTACATTTTGTTTCTTTTTTTCTTTTTTACCTGTGTCTGATTCCTCCCCAGCAGAGATAAAAGTCCTGTTAAACTTAGACGGATCCAAAATATCCTCCACAGAGAAAGAAGCTCTTTGGACCTTGGGTAATTGGGCTGCAACTGGCTGCATGTTTGCTCCTGAACTTCCGCGCCCTTCATCAGTCTATATATACACAGCAGATCCAATCGCTCCCTTTCAGATCTGCTTTTATAATTCTAAATAAAGTAATTTGTCTCATAGGAACAATTGTCCCCTTTGCTTTGAGCTGCAGACACGTTCCGGCCATGAGGGACCCCCGTGCCGGCCCTTCAGAATGGAAATGAGGAGGATCAGGGGCCCCGATCCCGTTAATTATTAAGTGGCATCTGGTCAAAATGGCCCCTCTTTCATTCCCTTCGTGTTACTTATTGTATGAAGACTTGTCATTATTTGCAAATGGGAGATTTTACGCTCATGAGACACGTGAAGGTTTGCTGTGATGCTAATGTGTAGACCCAGTGGGGGGGACATTTGTTCTGTTTGTGAGCAGTGTGGGGAAACCAAAGACAACTTTATGACCTACATTTCATCAATGATCACTATGTTTAAACTTTTTCTTCTTTCTATTCTTTTCTCAGTGTCCTGTCTGGCAGTGGCGGAGCTAGATGGGGGGGCCAGTGGTGGCCATGTCCACCCTTAGCCAATCATTGGCCACCCCTGTGGCCCCCCCTACCCTTTTTCCCTCTAATACAGATGGTGGCAACAGTCAGAAATACATTTTGACTTATATGGGGTAAAGAGAAAATAATGTTCTCTGCAAGAGGAGTATTCAGTGAAATCATAGATAACTAGTTTAATAAAAATGTATTAAATATTCAATTTATGTAGATATTAGTACCTGTAAATATACATTTTTGGCAGAATGATTATTGATAAAAGTAGGTAAGTAATGATAATGGAAAAGATTTTCGCCCCAGAACTCAAACCTGAAAGAATTGCATCTACTATACCTTTTATCTAGGAAGCATGGATGTTTAAATATATGCGTCTATTTTTTAGCAAAGGTTGTAAGAAAGGATAGTTTGTCTTTATTTAGCAAATATGGATGTTGTGCTCATTAATTTTCCTGCATGAACAGTGTGGATTGACCCTGAGGTTCTGGCACCTATCCGCTTTCGGCCACCCCTCAGTGTACATTGGTTATTGCCTGGCCACCCTTAAAACATTTTCTGGCTACGCCTCTGTTGTCTTGATGCCAAAAAGAGCCCAACAGATTTTACTTTCCCAGGTGGAGCAGTACGGCTATCGCCATAGTGTTCCGCTTGATTTATGCATAAAAAATAGCTTTATTATAATTATGCAGGGATTATTAAAGATTTTCTGGACACTGCAATGTAAGTAGAACAGGAAAGGAAAAACAGAAAAAAAGGAGAAAAGATGAAAGAAAGAGGAGATAAAAGGGAGACAACAATAAAACATCTTCAGTCTGCTTCATCACCTGCAAAGAGATGTAAAAAAAGAACAGTACAACCAACGGATATAGTATAAGAGATACAATAAAGTAACACCTTCATACTATCGCTGAAGTATAAGTAGTTTTACTTAATCTGACATGTATTCTGTGCTAGCTGATGATAAAAATACCTTTTTCACATAGACAACATGTCTATGGAGTCATTTTTGTTCCATTATTGTTGCTAGCAACATATTAAAATATACATAAAACAAAACGGGGGAAAAACAGATTTTGTAAATAAAATTTTTTAAATGCAATCCTGAAAAGGTTTGCATTTTTATTTCTAATTTTAACGAACAAAATATGTTCTTTGCAATTATAAGGGAACAAAATTCAAACCATAAACATAATTGGAGACCCTCTAATCCTCATGTGACTCCACAGGCTCTAATGCAGGGATAACCAAATAAAAACCAGCGGGGTTCGAATAAAGTAAATCAACAACCAGTAAAGATCCGGTGACATTTTTAATTATAATCTGTTACTTTAATCAGAATTTAACACTGAAATAAAATGAGGTTTTTATGCATCCATGTTACACGTTGACTTTAAAAAAAAAAACATCTAAAAAAAAAAGAATTTTAAAATCTAAAGTGTTTTTTGAAGTAGAGAACAACAATCGTTCAGTTTGGTATATAGACAACTTCCTGATTCACATATTTTATAAAACACTTGAGTTTTACACTACAGTTGAACAACATGCGGTAATTTACAAATGTTTTAAATCACGTTGGGTCCGGATTATCCAGCAGCTGGTGCGGATCCGGATCATGGCCTGCAAATCCGTGACCTGTGGTCTAATGTTTGGGAAGCTTTGTTTGGCCTAATAAAATCAAATGCACCCTTTAGGGGTCCATCCTATAAAGTTGACCTGTTTGCAAAATAATCCACCTTCTCTCTGCAGAACTCTGAGGTTTTTGGGGAGAATATTGGTGATGAAACAGCATCATGGAATACATCAAACATGCCAAGCTGAGACCCAGGGACCAAGACTTAAAACATAGAGCTAGAGCAATACACTTCAAAATGTATCCGTCTAAAAGTTCTACACACTCATTGAGACAAAAAAAAGGATTTTGGTTCTTGCTTTGAGATTAAAATACCATGCAAAAGAAGATTAAATTAATAATCTTATCTTGAAAAGATTCTATTAAAAATATATGTAATAATCTGCCAGTGCATTAAAGCAATTACACTTATTAAGACTTGTTAAAATTATTTTAAATATTCCTTAAACAAAAAGTCTAACTGCAGTGGCAGATTATTACATTCATGAGTAGAATCTAATGGCATCTAATCTTTCTTAGTACATTGATCTCAGAACAAGATAAAAAAAAATGTTTTTATGTGTATGTGAATAGATTATTAGATCTTTAATAACCAAGTTAAAGACTTTTTTTTAATACCAAAGTTTTCACAAGAGAACATGAGTCCTGCTACACTCTTACCATTTCTGTAAAAATAGGAACACAAACAGTCCCTGTTTTCTTTCTGTCTATTGTCACATCATGTATTTGGCTGCATGTTCAAGTTAAGGGTGCCGTCCTTTTAGTCCAGGCCTGTTTAATGAGTTAAAAAAATATATATAATTCTATTATAGCATGGTCTAAATGCTATGTCTAACTACTGTATTATCTGTTCATTTTCATAGATTTTTTTATTTATTGTTACTGTTGACATATTCAAATTATTTTATTCAATTTTAGCTGGTGAAAAAGATAAATTGTTACAGAATGACCCTTTAAGATTAGGCTTAAATTAGTTATGCTGCTATAGGCTTAGGCTGCTGGAGGACATAGATACCACTTCTCATCACTCTGTTTGACCGTGACACCATCTTGCATTGAAACATCACCTGTCCTATCAAGGCCTTTGATTATAAATGAAAGAGCTGGAGCTGTTTACAGTGTTTACTCCTGTTTCTCTCCTTGACGTAACTTTGGGCTCAGCTTTTACTGTGACTAAATTACTGTGACTATTACAAAAACAATCTGAAGCTAATTACTGCTTTTTAGTCTGTATCGCATAAATGCAGGACCTTGAGTTCATATTTTATATAAGATCCCAATAAAATACAGAGAAATTTGCAAATGCTCAGGATGTGAATATCCCTGCAAAGCACTTCACACTGCAAAAACGATATAGAAAAAAGTAAACATTTTTTAAATTAAATGTATTCACCCTTAATTTGAGTAGGTAAATGAGCTAGTTTGCCAATGGAATGAGTAATTTTACTCTTAAAATAAGATAATTAGATAATATGCACTTAAAATAAGACAACGTAATTGTGTTTTCTTATTTTAAGTGTAAATTGTCTTGTTCCATTGGCAAACTGTCTCTTTTAGCTCCTCAATTCAAGAACAAATGCACTTATTTTAAGAAAAAAATACTTCTCTAGATTTAGATTTTTTGCAGTGCATAAATGCCTTTAACCAGCAACTCCATTAATCCTTCCTATGGCACTCTGTGAAATACTTTGAAAATCAAAATTTCAAGCCAATAGTGTTATTGGAATCCAGGAGAAGACCTTATCCCCTATGTAACCTTAAAAAAACATGGATATTTTGATGGCAAAAACTAATGTCAATGACAAGAAACGTCAACTTGCTCGAATATATTAAGAAAAATAACAAAAGTGCTTCTATAAGAAATTCATGAAAAACACTGAGAGTGAAAGAAACTTTTTAGATTTTTAGTTTATAAACCTAAATATAATTGTTAACTAGGCTGATTAACTTTTTAACTTTCCAATTAGCTTTTTACCTTTTTTTCTTGTTAACCTTTTTTTCCCAACTTATTTAAAGTAGGAAATATATCATTCAAGGGCTCATCTATTTGTTCAAATGCCAAAATAAGATGTACAGCCATGTAGCATCTTTGCTGAATGACTGGATATAGATCTTCTGCTTCTAGACCTCACTGAGGGAGGGGACTCCATTTGTAATGGGTATGCAAGTGATCAAAAACGATAACTTGCCCAATAAAGGGTTAACTACAATTAAACATCTCTGTGCCTCAGCTTTTAGTCCACACAGCATCCCAGGGATACAGCAGGTTTTAAAGAGTCGGGGTGGGGGTGTAAATGTTCCTGAATGTGACAGCTGCCAGGTCGCTCCCAGCTACAGACACCTACAGAGCCAGAGGTATTGTAGGACTGGACGGGCCGGCCCGCCGGGACAATTAGCAGATGTCTACAGTAGGCTCAACCTTCTCTGACCCTGAGCTTTGTCTCTCAGGACAGAGAGCGATACGGAGAGATTCAAACATGGAGAAAAAAACCAGAGAAGGAATGATTAACAGAAAAATAAAAGTGTTTCACGGTGATGAATTCACTGTTCTCGACCTGCATTGTTATTTAAACTTTGCTTTAAAATGATACATTTACTGTCGTGTTCAAATTCATGTGAGTCTTCTTTACATGTACTAAGCGCTCATTGTAACTTATAATGTAACTTATAAAGTGCTGGAAGATTTTTTAAAGGTAAGGCATGAATGTACTTTGAGGTGTTTATTCAGGTACACTGCAAAAATAAAATCTTATCAAACATATTTCTCTCATTTGAAGTCAAAACCTCTTTTCACACTTAATACAAGTCAAAACCATTGATAGAGATACGTTTAAAGGAGAGATAATGTCTTTTAATACAATTAGAGAATTCTGATGAATGAAGAGTCTTGGAAATACCTTATTGAGTTGTTACTTGATTTACATAACCTTTTTTGACATTGAA